AATCATATTTTCTAGAACTATCGTATCCAAATCTAAGCCATTCCCATGGTTGATGCACTACTTCAGTTTCTAGCGCCATCTGTAGGAAAGGAGTGGGGGGGGGGGGGGGGGGGGGCCTGATTAGGAGTACAGCCTAGTGCGATTATTTTTTCCCGGTCGATGCAATTATTTAGGGAGCCGCGTTAGCGCAGTCGATGGGAGGCTCGCTTTTAAATCCAGCACGGTTGGTGTTTGAAACCAGGCGGTTCCCGGGGTTCACCTAGCCTCTAGTAAATGGGTACCAGAGTTAACACTCTGGGGTGAATGGAGCAATGTCGCTGTAGCTACGGAGTTACGTGCGGACAGCGACACAGGCGGATATATTCTTTTCAGCTGTCCGTACTGGTGGCAGAGCACTTTATGGTTTATAGCCGTGTGCAGTGACGCTGGTTCACTTCTTCAACTTAAGCTTTAACTTTTTTACGATTATTTCTGTTAAATTACCACATGGAAACGCTGAAGGCTACAACCGAACACGATATCTGACATTGACGGATGCATAAAGTGAGAGGAGAGGATGGGCAATGGCAGTGAGACCAGGCCGGGGTTCCCCCTTGGTACTGATTATGGTAACACGGATTTCTCGAAGGTAGACAAGCTCAGCAAAGGTAACGATTAACACTTTGACTGAGACAGAACAGAGATGCCAGTGTATTAGATTAGAACTCGGGTCATGCAACAACCATGGGGTACCGACAGGAGAGGGAGATTAATCTTTTATCTAGATAAGGCGTGACCAAAGAAGAAATAATCTAGAAAGATGCAAATGGATGACAGCGGTATGAGAAATAGGCGACACTTAGAGAAGAGGGAGAGAAGGAGCAGAACGCAAGCACGGATGAGTTAGAGGGTCGAGGAGACATTTAGACCTGGGGCGTGGAGCCGGAAAGTCAAAAAATACTGTAGCTTGTGAACATAACATTTGACTGTATGGCCGAGAGTCGAACTTCGTTAGAAGTGTGACAAACCAACTAAATATTTCAGGCCGGCAAGACTTTATTGTATCTTGTTAGTTAAAACAATTGCGCACTTTAAATAAATATAGATGCGGGAATAGTGGTAAATGTACGGTGGTGTTAAGAAGCACATAACTTATGACGTTTTCTTAGTTGTTACTGGGAGATAAACCCCTAGATCTAGTTATTCGTTGCTACACCAAACGACCGTCCCAGTCTTTCCATCGGCCTAGCTAAAAAGAAATTATAATAACACGAATTCAGGTGAGATTTATAATGGTAGGGAGTAGCTGAGATCCCATATAAACCCTAGCTGTATCCTGGAATATTTTATCGGGATCCTACAATTCTTTGAGTTATAAGAACATTCCGTGACTTCATCAACCTTGTTACTTGTCCGTTGGACAATGGTAACTACTTACTAGTCCCTACATATTATGACGTTCCTTAGGTTACCATTCACGGTTAGGACTATTCATTAGTGAACCCTCTATCACCTTGTCATCTTTTCTGAGAATATTCATTTGGTTTCTTTGCGTAAGGACCTTACAGTAAAACCATCATCCTGTGCCATGCGGTATCATCAGTTGTGTATACCCTACAATGAGTATATTTATTATATTATGAAACATCACAGTTAAGTAAAAGGGAGGGACCTTCAGTCGCGTCGTCCAGCTGGGCGATATGGGCTGCCTTTGCATGGTCCAACGCATGCGAGCTTTGTGTCCACTAAATCATGCACCACAAACACCGCAACACTTCTACCCGCCACAGATGTGTCAGCATAATCCTGACCACAAGGATAACTGATGTATTTTCCAGGTTTCCTATACCCACCATAGATTGTCAACAACTGTATGTAGAATGGAAAGAACTGAGATCCGAATGTTATTAAACAGACTATACGTTGAAGACAGCCAATGGCTACTAGAAGAAATAATCTAGGAAGATGCAAATGGATGACAGCGGTATGAGAAATAGGCGACGCTTAGAGAAGAGGGAGAGAAGGAGCAGTATATTGTTATATTCGTCAAGGAATGCTGTATTCCACCGGAAGGAACTTGAAGCTGAGTGACGTTTTAGATTGATTTTAATTGCTTCGGTGTTAAATGATGTTTTCGTTGAATTGTTGAATAATTGAATAGGATGTTCTGGGTTGGGTTGTATCAATAAATTTGTTGATTTAGTATAACTCAACTATTTGAATATGTCAATTGGTATCTGTTTGAATTCCTTGTTTGATGAAAAATTCTACTCTTTAACTACGTTGAGTTCAATTAGGAATGTATTGAATTTTCACAAGTTTATTGAGAAGAACATATATTTATTCAGTTCTTTTCCGGGGATTCACCCTATTAGTATGATTATCTGAATTTCCGTTCCTTTCTATGAACTCAGGGACCAATAAATTTCCCCTAGACATCTTTATTACGAGCCCTGTAAAACATTAACTTAGGAGGGATTATAGGGGATCTCCAGGCTAGGATAGATTCTGGCAACTAGCTTACGACAAGAAGAAAGACAAGTTTTACTTCGTGTTAGAAGTACTTTTGAAGCATACGTGTACAGCAACAATAAACTCAAGTGTTCGTCGTCACTGTAGAATAGAAATCAGCGTCGCACTTGAGTTGGCATTATAATGTTATAATAAAACGGCTGTCCGCCTCGAGAGTTAGAGATTCCGGGTTCAATCCATGGTAAGGGTTGGGATTTTTTCACGAGGACTTGGACTTCTAGTAATTCCCCTTGGTCAATGGGTAGTGAGATCGGAAGTCCGTGTGCATTGTTGCGCACGTAAAAAAATCCCTTGGCGGTTAGAAATCGTAAAAATTAAGCCTAACGGCGCTGCCCAGGGAAAATTTGGAGTTACAAATCTACCGAAAGTAATTCAGGATCCTCGCCGGTGCAACGTGAAATACGCTGAGATTCTTCAGGGTCTAGCCGCTTCCTAGCCGCTACACCACGGCTAAATGAAAAAGGGGTGGTAGTAAATAAAGATAAAATAATGGGACCAACAGAGGAAAGTGATGAAAACTATTTTTGTTTAAACTGATAAATGCACACGATGTGAAGACAAACAAAATAACCAGAAAATTGATACAGATAAGTAAAGTGATTAAGCAAAGCAAGCCATGAAAGGCCTAAACGATGATGAGCACTTACCTTTGGTGTGTGGTGGCACATGGGATTTCTACACTTCTTGATCCTTTTGATGAATTTCAGCATGGTCTCGCCTAGACCACCCAGCACCAGTAGGGTCAGAGGGATCCCAAACAGGGCGTACAGGACACAGACCGCCTTGCCTTCCATCGTAAACGGGGACATGTTACCAAAACCTGCAAGATAGCGTGGGTTAGGGCATCTCAGATGGGGCCATAACGACGGTTTTAGATCATAAGATAACATTTCAGATAGCAGACAATGTAAATACTTGCACTCACACATTCAGAATGCATAATAATATTAGAAAAAAAATTTGGGAGCCATATGCGCAAGAGATGTTGGGGGGGGGGGGGAGATATGCAGAAGAGGAGGGAGTGGTAATGAAAAACAGAAGGAGAGGACGGAAAGCAAGAAAGACCGATTAAAAAAGAAAGAAAGAAAGAAAGGTAAAGAAAGAAAGAAAGAAGAAAGAGAGAAAGAAAGAAAGAAAGAAAGAAAGAAAGAAAGAAAAGAAAGAAAGAAAGAAAGAAAGAAAGAAAGAAAGAAAGAAAGAAAGAAGAGAAAAAGAAAGAAAGAAAGAAAGAAAGAAAGAAAGAAAGAAAGAAAGAAAGAAAGACAAAAAGAAAGAAAGAAAGAAAGAAAGAAAGAAAGAAAGAAAGAAAGAAAGAAAGAAGAAAGAAAGAAAGAAAGAAAGAAAGAAAGAAAGAAAGAAAGAGAATGAAAGAAAGAAAGAAAGAAAGAAAGAAAGAAAGAAAGAAAAGAAAGAAAGAAAGACAGAAGAAAGACAGAAAGACAGAAAGACAGACAGAAAGAAAGAAAGAAAGAAAGAAAGAAAGAAAGAAAGAAAGAAAGAAAGAAAGAAAGCAAGAAAGCAAGAAAGCAAGAAAGCAAGAAAGCAAGAAAGAAAGAAAGAAAGAAAGAAATAAAGAAAGAAAGAAAGCAAGAAAGAAAGAAAGAAAGAAAGACAGATCTGTTCCCATGTTATATCCCATGACATCCCCAGGTGGGCCAGGTTATGTTTGTTCGTTCCCCCACACACCTTTACACTCTAGAGAAAACATCCAAAAGACCTGTGAAGTGATGCTTGTCACTCAGCCTATGTGTGTCCAGCTTCCTTAACATACTCTGCGAGTCTGTTACAGTCACGACCGTGTCTACCTGGCTTCTCAAGCTAGCGGAAGTTCGCATTAATCATTTTGGATCGACAGACTTAAATCCATTTGTGGTTTCTGTAAGTTTCCACTATTACGTCGTCTAATGTATTTTTAAATCCTTTTTTACCTCCTCTTCATCTGTGAAAGACAATCAATATTCACCCCTTTACTTCTATAAGTAAAGTAAAGATCTTTTTTCACGCCTTTCTGGTATATAGAAAGAACGTCCCATATTTTTACAGACCAATAGGCACTGGATGGTTAATGTGGTCAGCATTACGCCGACCGTCTTTACTTCCCTAGGACATCCATCTTGGTGCCCATTTTAGGCTGAGTCGACCTGCGACGCCCCATACCTTGATAAAAATCCACGCAGCCAGCATTGGGTTTCGATCGTGGTACGTTGGATTACGAGTCAGACTCGCAACGCCTAAGCCACAGACGCCGCCTTTACTTCTATACTACAAAGAAATACATTCACCGAGCTAGAGGCGGCAAGGGGGGGGGGGGGGGGGGCAATATTTACCTATTGTAGTCACCACAGAAACCACGAATCCAAAGGCACCACTGAAGTCCCACCTGTCCAGGTGCGTCTTGTTGTCCACGACGTAGTTGACAATCTCGCTGTCCACGACGGCTTTCTTCAGCAGGTCGTAGAGGTCACTTCTGTTTACACATGGATTCTTGTCTGTGTGGATAGACAGAAGATACGTGTGATCTTTTCATCCGGACACAACTAAACGAACATAACACAAGCATGTACCGTGTTTTCCCTTTCATTAAACCATATGCTTTCCCAAAAATTTTTAAATTTTAGTTTAAAATTTCTGATCAACGATGATGAGGATGACGTTCAGCTCACCTGGACATCACATAGGGCGATAAACACCCGGTGACACAAAGTGTCTCCATTCGGATAAGGATCACCCGGTGACAGGCCCCATAAACCCCATTCAATCCATCAGCTGGGTTATCTATAGGGCCCCTGGCAATACAAAATTACGTCCGACAATTGGACGTAGACTATGAAATAAAAGTACAATTAGGGGTCCTCTTATACACTGTGTCTATTACAAATATTTATTTCCAATTTTTAGCTAGAAAATAAAGGTGGTTTTATATATGAGGGCGTCTTATACACTGGCAAATGCGGTATTGTTTTATACAAATGTGTAATCTTTCTTTTCTGGGCTAAGGGGAGGTTTTCCTAATGTGTATTCTTTCTTTTCTGGGCTAAGGGGAGGTTATACATATGTGTATTCTTTATTTTCTGGGCTAAGGGGAGGTTATACTAATGTGTGTTGTTTCGTTTCTGGGCTAAGGGGAGGTTATACTAATGTGTGTTGTTTCGTTTCTGGGCTAAGGGGAGGTTATACATATGTGTATTCTTTATTTTCTGTTCTAAGGAGAGGTTATTCAATTGTATATTCTTTCTTCTCTGGACTAGGGGATGTTATACAAATTTGTGTGTTTTTTTTCTTTTTTTGAGCTAAATTGGGGGGGGGGGGGGGGGGGGGGGGGTATGCAAATGTATATTCTTTCTTTTCTAGACTAAGGGGTGGTCATAAAATTGTGTATTTTTTTTTGTGGGCTAAGGGGAGATTGTGCAAATGTGTATTCTTTGTTGTATTGACTAAGGGGAGGTTATACAATTGTGCATTTTTACTTCTCTGGACTAGGGGATGTTATACAAATTTGTGATCTTTCTTTTCTGAGCTAAAGGAAGGTTATGCAAATGTGTATTCTTTCTTTTTTGGACTAAAGGGTTGGTTATAAAACTGTGTGGTGTTTTTTTTTCTGGGCTAAGGGGAGGTTATACAAATGTGCATTCTTTCTTTTCTAAACTAAGGGGAGGTTACACAAATGTTTATTCTTTCTATTCTGGGTTAAGGGGAGGTTATACAAATGTGTATTCTTTCTTTTCTGGACTAGGGTAATGTTATGCAAATGTCTATTCTTTATTTTTTGGATTAAACGGTAGTTATAAAATTGTGATTTTTTTTTTTTCTGGGCTAAGGGGAGGTTATACAAATGTGTATTCTTTCTTTTCTGGACTAGGGGAATGTTATGCAAATGTGTATTCTTTCTTTTCTAGACGAAGGGGAGGTTATACAGTTGTGTATTCTTTCTTTTCTGGGCTAAGGGGAGATTAGACAAATGTGTATTCTTCCATTTCTGGGCTAAGGGGAGGTTATACAAATGTCTGTTCTTTCTTTTCTGGGCTAAGGGGAGGTTTTGCAAATGTGTATTCTTTCTTTTATTGGACAAGGAAAGGCTATGCAAATGTATATGCTTTGTTGTCTGGACGAACACATGTTGAGACAAAACAAAACATAAGTAGCATTTTTTGTCCCCTGAACTAAAAGTTCTGCACCTCCGTCCTGTGTGTATCTGAGAAATTTGTTGAGTCCTGCTATGTTGTGCTGGCCCGCCAATCACATTGCACAACCTTTTGAGAGTTCACGAAAGTGTAAAGGTGAACTCAGTGCAAACTCCTGCAGCTGTCTTCTGACACAAACACATTAAAAACTGTGTCACCCTGCTCACGAGCAAACTTTATATGTGTTGTGTATTTGTGTCATTTCTGTTCTTCTTCCACTGTTAGAGCGGTAATCAATCTTTGCAATGTATTTTCATTTCTGGCTTTATGCATAACTGCACCGATATAAAGCAGATTATTTAAATTTAGTTCCACATTTTCACACCTGGAATTGTCTTGTCCGCATAACTTTCATACCTGGTTTAATTTTTGCTGCAAAGAAATAAATAATAAGGTAAAACAAGGGGTGGCACTTTAGTTTTAATTCACCCCAAACAAAGGAAACCCAGGATTTCCTAGGATAGTCCAAACACATTACATAACGTCAAGGTGTTTTCTTGTGCAGTTTTTACGGTTTTCTATCTATAATATCTGTTTTCCTAACCCTAACCCAGACCCTAACCTGTGATAAATGAAGCTACCCTAATTATAACTACCAGGTAGGGTAAATTTAAACCAAAGTACCCAGATGATAGATATTCACGTGTTTTGGTCACCATAAATAACTTCTGACTAACCCACATTGCATCCATGATAGCTACAGGTTTGCGCAGAACAGAAGGAGTAATGGAGGATTAGACAGCAGCCCTGTTTAGCACTTGATGATGGTGATAATGATGATGATAAAATATCATTTATTATTTGTCATCAATAAATATATCAGGAAAAATTAAAGTTAGGGTTGTACAGAATATTCGCTTCGTATTCGCTTCGGGGCCGAATACTGGACTTATTGACTATTCGGTATTCGGCCAAATAGTTGCGGTCGGGCCGAATACGAATAGAAGTTACCTTACACCTGCTTATGCATACACGGCCTTAATACTGACAGCATGAAACGATTGGTTTTGTTGAAAGCTAATGCAGCTTTCATGCATCAACTAAGTTGTCGGTGACAATTTACAAATTTAGTTATTTGTTATAATACTTAGGATTTTTTCATCCCTAGTTATTAGTTACCACAGACTGACTGAAGGATGCAAAACATAAAAATCTTTCAACTGTTTACTATTCTGTACGAATACTAACTAAACATGGAAAGAATATAAACTCCCGCAACATCCAAGTCGATAATATAAAAATCAAACGAACGGAAACATATAAGTACTTGGGTGCAAACTTCAACTGCTCCAACATGTTGAGAGAAAAAATACAATCTAGAATACAATCTAGAAAAAAAGTATACAATGCCCATCAACATCTGCTAAAGTCAAAGTGTCTATCTCGCAACTCCAAAATCAAAATATATAAAACGTTGATAAGACCAGTTGTTTTTTTATGGCTCTGAAACTTGAAGCAGAAATAAAAAAGATGAGGCCTTATTATAGGTTTCCTAAAACAGTCTTACCACAAATCTTTGTACCCATCAAAGATGCTAACAGCGGGGAATGGAGAGCAAGAAGCAACAACGTAACACATAATTTGTTTAAATCACTATTGATCACTGGCATCATGAGAGCTAACAGACTAAAATTGTTGAGGCATATTGATAGAATGTCAGAAGACAGATAAATAAGACTATACACCTGAGAGAGGAATGGGCGTAGACCACGAGGCAGACAAAAAAGAAGATCGAGAGATAATGTCCAGCCAGACCTGCAAACAACTGGTGTCACAAATTGTGAAGAGAAGGCCAGCCAGAGAGATGAATGGAGACGAGTAATATCTACAGCAGTAAACCTCAAGGGCTCAGAATGCTAATGAAGAAGATGACTATTCTGTGCCACTTTATGTGAAGCAAAGCTTCAGCGTACATTTGACATTATGAATGTGTGTTTTTTATATATATATATATATATATATATATATATATATATATATATATATATATATATTATATATATATATATATATATACATATATTATACGCTATTCGTATTCGTATTCTTCCGAATAATTGGTCCCGTTATTCGTACTCGGTCGAATAGTGAAAATCACTATTCGGTACAGCCCTAATTGAAATCATCTGGCAAACATTATTTTAAAGTTCAAAGTTCATTTGGGACAACGGCCCTGACGAATGTAAGGTTGACCAATGTTGTGAAGCAAAGAAAATTGAAGTGTTTATCTTATGTCAAAGAGGTTAAAAGCTTTGGTTTTAAACTCGATAACCAATTAGTCAGTCTCTACTTTCTTAAAAGTGCGGTGCGTTTAAGGACATTAACTTGATTTTCCAGCTGTCAGGATGCGATGCAATTCTATAATTATAGAAATTGCAATTTGTAAAACGGAAATAGAAATTAAGACGCAATTTGCCGCAAGCGAACCAGCCAGAGAGTGAATACCGCGCATGGATTCTATTGTTCTGCTGGGTCATTCCATAACAGAACATGGATAAATAGAGCATAAACATCTACTGAGCCGAAACTTATGGAGATCGGTCTTTGCTGGGTACAATGGGCAAAAGTGTGGTGTTTCATATGATCCCCCCACACTTCGTTTCATTAGATCTGGGAAGGTTAAGTTCTTTTTCTTTTTTTTCAGCATTTCGAGCCCTTGAAGTTCATTGCTGCAGATATCACCTGTCTCCATTCATCCATTTCGTTGTCTTTCTCTTTCCAGTTGGTGACATCAAGTGTTTGCAGATCTGCCTAGACATTGTCCGTCGTCTTCTTGGTCTGCCTCGTAGTCTACAACCATTTACCTCCCTTGTGTATACAGTTTTTACCTCTCTGTCATTTGACATTCTTTCAGTGTGCCCCAACCATTTCAATCTATTAGGTCTCATGATGCTAGTAATCAAAGGCGAATTAAACAGATGATGAACTTTGTTGTTGCTTCTTACTCTCAGTTGCCCGCTGTTTGCATCTTTGAAGGGGCCAAAGATTCGTCGTAAGACTCTGTTTTTGAACACCTGTAATAAGACTTTATCTCTTTTAGTTGTGGGAAAGTTAACACGGGCAACAAATGTCAACTGAAATCGGATGTATTGGCCGAAAGGCGCAAATAAATGGTTTTTATAGACGAATGTCGAAAAAAACTAACTCACGAAGAGAACCAACAGCCCACATCAGTTTTATATAACCTACATTCTTTGGTACTGTCATGAAAAGGAGACAACTGGCATACATCCTGACAGTGGTGACATTGGAGGGAAAGAGAGACAGAAGAAGTCAGAGAGAGAGAGAAAGAGAGAGAGAGAGAGAGA